CCTACTTTCAACATATTGTACGGCTTGACCTTGTGATAGTTAGGTGTCTGCTTTGAGCGTATTGTAGGGCCTGACCTTGTGATAGTTAACTACCTGCTTTAAGCGTATTGCATGACCTAACTTTGTGATTTATTAGGTGCTTACTTTGAGCATATTGTAGGGCCTGACCTTGTGGTACTTAGGTGCTTGCTTTGAGCATATTGTAGGGTCTGACCTTGTGATTTGTTAGGAGCCTACTTTGAGCGTTTTGTAGGGCCTGACTATGTGATTGATAACAACGAGGTGCCTGCTTTGAGCGTATTGCAAGGCTTGACTTTGTGATTTGTTAGGTGCCTACTTTGAGCATATTGTAGGGCCTGACCTTGTGATAGCTAGGTGCCTGCTTTGAGTGTATTGTATGGCCTAACTTTGTGATTTGTTAGGTGCCTACTTTGAGGGTATTATAAGGCCTGACCTTATGATAGTTAGGTGTCTGCTTTGAGCATATTACATGGCCTGACTTTGTGATTTGTTAGGTGCCTACTTTGAGCGTATTTTTAGGACTAAGATTGTGATAGTTAGGTGCCTTCTTTGAGTGTATTGCAGGGCCTGACCTTGTGATTTGTTAGGTTCCTATTTTGAGAGTATTGTAAGGCCTGACCATGTGATTGATAACAGCAAGGTGCCGGCTTTGAGCATATTACAGGGCCGGGCTTTGTGATTTGTTAGGTGCCTGCGTTGAGCATATTGCAGGACCTGATATTGTGATTTTACCATGGTGCCTACTTTGAGCATATTGTAGGGCCCGGCTTTGTGATTCTGTGGTGCCTACTTTGAGCGTATTGTAAGACCTGAGTATTTTGATTTATACTGATGAAAAACCTTCTCTGAGCTGGTAGCCGGACCTGACATTATTGGAAAAGTGCACGCGTGAGAGAGTAATTTAAAATGTAGGACCTGTCCATCTTAGATGGACAATGCACGTGAGAAGTGTACGTGTGCGGGGTCAGGGGGCACTCACATCCACAAGGGTATGTGTGATACCATTGTTATCAGTTCGTCCAATAATGGCACATTCTAAAGAATTGATAACATTGTTATCAAAAGGGTACATGTGTACACGAGTACCATTGTTATCTGATACCAGTGTATGTGTACACAACATTATCTGCTCCAATGTTGGTCCTCTTTTGGAGCCGGTGCTGCTCACAACTCAGCAAAGATCAGGACATACAATTCTCTCGTGGTTTATTTGATCCTCGGACCTGGTTATGCCCTGACCACGAAACTGATAGAATAAAACTGTCAAACTCTCGGGCCATCAGATGTGTGAGACAAAGGAGATTGATGAACCAATCCCAAATAGGAAAGATTTAACTTATGTTGAGCAGCCAAGTGAGATTCTGGATAGAAAGGTTCAAGTTATACACAACAACGAGATTCCCCTGATCTGGGTTTCATGGCAGTATCATTCAAGAGAAGACTCGACGTGAGAGCTAGAAGATGAAATGCGGGAGTTGTAGCCCCATTTATTCGATTAACGATTTTGAGGACAAAATCTTTTTTTTTTTGGGAGGGGGGGGGGGGATGGTGTGACGACCCAAAATTTTCCTGGCCAGTTAGAGTGCATGGAAGGATAGAGAAGAAGCAGTGTCAGTGCCGGCTGAGTTATGAGCAGCGCCAGCTGTGAAGAGAAGAAGTGTCATCACCGGCTGAGTTGTAACCAGCGGCTACTGTGTTGTGACCAGCGCTGGCTGTGTTGTGAGTAGAGGCCAGCACCGGCTATGTAGGAGAAGAAGTGTCAGCACCGGCTATTTTGTGTATAGAGACCAGAGACCAACGTCGATTGTGCCATGTGCAGAGGCCAGCACCGGCTATGTAGGAGAAGGAGACCAGCATCAACTGTGTTGTGTGCAGGAGACCAGCGCAGCCTATGTTGTGTGCAGGAGACCAGCTTTGGCCGCGTTACTGATATGCATGGATTATGAGTGCCACTTATTAGATGCATGCTGATGTGAGTGTCAGTTGTCTAGATTTTAAGTCTTTGGATGACACTTGGACTACCACCCCAAACATAAGCGTACTTAAGCCTCTCCTCTTACCCAAGCCACTCACTCTTCCCTCATTTCTCCCCTCTCTAAGACCCAAGGTTTGAAGAAGTGACTGTTGGAGGGTAACCTTTGTTGGACAGGTGAGAGCGAATAGAGGATTGGAGAAGGCCTCATTGTTATTCAAGTAAGTATATCTACCACCATTGCATTGTAGTCATAAGGATGCATGTGAATTTATCAATTTGAAATTAGCAATAGTAGTGTATGTAATGTAGAAATCCTTCAACCTTTTTCACTAGAATTTGGGGCTTTTGTTCTATGATAATGATAGATGTTGAAAATGAATATATGATTCTTAGATTGTGTAAGAAATGCATGTTATGTGTGTTCACATTGTGAGAGAATGGTTGTTATCATGTTTCTCACCATGAAATGAGGGTTATGGAATGTATTCTTGAGTCATGTTATATGTCACTGTGAAATTTCAAAATTTTGTGTGTGCTTGAATGAGTCTTTTGAACTATCAAATGGGGTCCGACTGACCTCAAACCACCCTCGTTAGAAAGATATGCAAGTCTAGTAAAATGTTCTTTTTTTCCTACTATTGAAATTCTTTATGAAAATGAACTTATGTTTCAAAATGAGAGAGTATATCACTGTTGATTGTTTACCTGGATTTTCCACTGATGCTGTTGTGGGCACTGATTTTAACTAACCAAACGAAGTCTATTTTTGGCTAAACCATAGCCATTTGAAACATCTTTGAATGGGATAAAATTTGCATGAGAAAATATTTTTAAATTCTTTCTGGATTGAAAGTTATTCTTCAACTTATAAGGTATGTCATTCTGGGCAGTATTGATAAAATTTAAAACGATCACCCTATTTGGCATGAACTTTTGAACGACCAAATGGATTCTAAATGCGTGAAAATTTACCTTGTTAGAAAGATATATGTCTTGGATTAAACTTTTCTTTTGAAATCATCACAAGTTACCTCACGGTTTGAAAGTTATAGTGATATGAAGTCGGTACCTCACTGTCCACTGTACATAGCAGGGTGCAGCTAGTTAGCCCTCATCTCTTGGAAATTTTAAGAGGACAAACATGGCCCATTTGTCTTCAAACCACTCCCATCTAAAGGGTAGGAGTGTCTAGTGAAAAACTAGTTCTGGAACTGTCTTTAACTTCCAATGGAATTGGGAGTTATGACCATGTTTTGACCAGATGTCTCTGCTTGAAATTGTAGGAAATGTAACAATGACACTAAGATTCAGTGACTCTGATAATGTGATCATGTAATGTTGATATTGATATAATATGGATCTGATACTGTTAAAAATGTGATACTGATATTGTCTGATTCTGCTATATGAATGGTTTTAATTTATCCATCTTTTGTTGTTGTTTCTTGTGGGAATTTGTGTTTTTTCTTGTGGTTTTCTTTGATTCCACATTTATAACATGTGTTGATGCCACTCCAACCAGAGTGATGATACGTGACCTCCGGTCATGATCACGTACTCTGTCGCCCTCCGGTTGGGTATGATAGAGGTCAGGTTTGGAGGGTCGTGACATGGTGCTAAGTCTTCTTACACAGCCGGTGATGGTCCACAGGTGGCATTAAGCCCTTCGCTTCATGGCTGGTGCTAGGTTTGCATTCTCATACGGCGATGGGTCACATACACAGTCGGCGCAACATCTTCTTTCTCTCTCCTCTGCTTCTTCACTAAAGACGGTGCTAAGCTCTTATACACGCACAGTGATGCTCCAGCCGGCACTAGGCCTTTACCTCACCCTCCATTGCCGTGCATGTCACTAAGTTGAGGAAACATTGTGGTCCTTACATCATCCCCTCCTTAAAAGGATTTTTTCTTCAAAATATTATTAACGTTAACAAAAAAGATTGGGGTATTTCTCCCTAATCTCATCCTCCCGTTCCCATGTTGATTCTTCTCTTGAGTGATACTGCCACTACACTCGAACTATAGGAATTTCTTTACTGCGTAACACTTGTACTCTCCTTCCTAATATCCCAATTGGTCGTTCAACATAGGTTAAGTCCTCCCAGAGTGGGATGGGTTCATATTCTATAACATGGGATGGGTCAGGTCGATACTTCCTAAGCAGTGATATATGGAACATTATAAACCCTGTCAGTTCAGGTGGCAGGGCAAGTCGGTAAGCCACGTTTCCAATCTTTCCAAGATTTCAAAAGGCCCAATGAATCGTGGGCTTAGTTTCCCCTTTTTGCCAAATCTCGTAACACCCTTGGTTGGCGATACCTTCAGGAAGACCCGATTTTCCACTTCAAACTCGAGGTCTCTCTGACGATTATCGGCAGAACTCTTTTGCCGACTTTAGGTTGTCTTGAGTCGTTCTCTAATTAAGGCAATCTTCTTAGAAAGCATCTTGACTATTTCGGGCCCCAGTAATTTCTTCTCTCCCACCTCATCCCAGCAGATGGGCGATTTCCACTTCCTCCCGTATAGGGCCTCATACGATGCCATCTGGATGCTGGCTTGGTAGCTATTGTTGTAGGCAAACTCTTTCAGAGGCAGACGATCCTCCCAGCTTCCTTTAAAGTTAGTGATGCACTCTCTTAGCATATCGTCCAATGTTTGGATGGTCCTTTCTGATTTCCCATATGTCTGGGGATGAAAGGTAGTGCTGAAGGTAAGTTCGATCCCCAAAGCCGACTGTAGGCCAGCCTAGAATCTAGAGGTAAACCTGGTGTCTCTGTCGGACACAATGCTGATGGGTACACCATGTAATCTTACAATTTCTCTTATATACAACTAGGTCAGCTTATCCAAAGTATAGGTCATGTAGACTGGTAAGAAATGAGCAGCCTTAGTCAGTCAGTCTACGATGACCCAGACACTATCGTGTCCAGCATTTGACCTGGGCAATCCAGAAATAAAAATCCATTGTGATGTGTTCCCACTTCCACTCTGGTATGGGGAGGGGCTACAATAGTCCGACAGGTTTCTGATGTTTCGCCTTCACTTGCTGACACATCAAACATTTAGCGACAAACTGTGCCACATCTCGCTTCATGTTGTTCCACCAGAAGGTCTTTTTATAACCCTGGTGCATCTTTGTACTCCCAAGGTGTATCGTGTAGTGAGAGTGGTGTGCTTCTTCCAGAGTAGCCCTTTTTATCCTTTCATCATGAGGAACACATAATCGGTCCTTAAACCTTAACAATTCATCATTGCTCATAGAGAAATCCTCTTTTCCATCTGTCTTCAACTCTTCTAGAATCTTTACAAGCTGAGGATCTCCTTTTTGAGCCACCCGGATTCGTTGAAATAGTTGGGGCTCCATCTTTAGACAAGAAAGCATTCCTTCCTCCCTACTATGATGTTGAGATGGGTGCCACTCCACCACATCCTCTAATAACTTCATTTCTCGAACCATCAAATATGCCACGGAGGTTACAACTTTCCGACTTAAGGCGTTGGCTACTACATTAGTCCTGCCTGGTTGGTAATCAATAGTACAGTCATAATCATTCAATTAATCCATCCATCTACTTTGCCTCATATTCAACTTTCTCAAGGAAAACAAGTACTTGAGGCTCTTATGCTCCATGAATACCTTAAATCAGGCCCCATAGAGATAGTGCCTCTAGATCTTTAACGCAAACACTACAGCCGCAACCTCCAAGTCATGCATTTGATAGTTATGCTTATACGATTTCAATTGTTTAGAGGCATACGCAATGACCTTGCCTCTCTACATGAGTACACCCCTGAGTCCCTTATGGGATGCATCGGTATATACCACAAAGTCTTCATTCCCTTTGGGCAAGGCTAGTATTGGAGTTGTGGTTAATCTCTCCTTCAGTTCCCAAAAAGTTCTCTCAAAGTCATCTGACAACAAAAATCTCATATTCTTCTGGGTTAGTCGAGTAAGGGGAAGCGCTATTTTTGAAGATCCTTTTACAAAGTGTTGGTAATATCCTGCCAACCCCAAAAAGTCGTGACCTTCAGTTACATTTGTTGGTCTCTCCCACTTAAGCACTACTTCAATCTTAGAGGGGTCAACCGTGATCCCATCCTTATAAATGACATGACCAAGAAAGACCACATTGGGGAGCTAAAATCCCCTCTTGCTCAATTTGGCATACAATTTTTCTGACTTCAAAGTTTGCAAGATAGTCCTCAGATGTTGCTCATACAGTTCTCAATTCTTCAAATGTAGCAAAATATCATCAATAAAGACCACCACAAAATCATTCAGGAAGGGTCAGAATATCTTATTCATCAAATCCATGAACACACCAGACGCATTGGTTAACCCGAACGGCATCAGAAGGAACTCGTAGTGACTGTATCGAGTCTTGAAAGCAGTCTTTAGTATATCTCCCTCCTTAAGTCACAGTTGGTGATACCACGACCAGAGGTCGATCTTGGAAAACACTAGGGCCCCTTGGAGCTGGTCAAAGAGGTCGTCAATTCTATGTAGGGGATACCTATTCCTCACTGTTACTTGGTTCAACTGCCTGTAATCAATGCACAACCTAAGGGACCCATCCTTCTTCTTCATAAATAGGACAGGTGCACCCCAAGGCGACACGCTGGGTCGAATGAATCCTTTAGTCAACAATTCCTACAACTGCTCTTTTAACTCCTTTAACTCAGCTAGGTCCATTCTATACGGGGCTTTAAAGATGGGAACAATGACATGGACTACATCTATCTCAAATTCAATTTCCCTCAAGGACGACAACTCTTCTAGAAATACCTCAGGGTACTCCTTTACTGGTATTCCTTCTAGCTGGGACTGGACACCCCGATTCTCAACTACATAGGCCACATACCCGACACGTATCTTAGCCAAGAGGGGAGAGGCCCGAAGGGTAGAGATAAAGTGTAGAGGGAGAGTATCCCTAACGCCCTCAAAGTGTAAGTTTGCTTGATCAGGACGTTTAAATGTTACCGTCTTTTCATGGCAGTTGACGGTGGCATGGTGGGTATACAACCAATCCATGCTCAAAATGACATCAAAGTCCTGAATATCTAAGTGGATAAGGTCTACTGGCAGGTCACACCCATCAATTGTGATCTTACACTATTTATTTACTTTATCAGTTTCCATAGAATCTCCCACAGGTGTGCATACTACTAAAGTACAATTGAGATATGCAGGCATAACATTCAAATGGCAAGAAAAATGGGGCACAACAAATGAATAAGAGGAACCAGGGTCAATTAAGGCACTAGCTTTAATGTCGCAAATTAAGAGTGTACCTTTGATCACCGAGGTGGATGCCTTGGCCTTCTGATTAGTGAGGGTGAACACTAGTCCTTAGGTCAACAGGCAGTCCTCGATCTTCTTCATAGGGCAGTCCCTAACCCAGTGACTATGCTTACCACATTTTAAGCATGAGTTCCTCTTCTTGTAGCATTCAGCGGCAGTGTGGTTGTCCTTCCCATAATGAGCACAGGCTGGGTAGTGATCACTATCCATATTGCTCAAAAGATTTTTCTAGGTCCTCTGCTTAAGATGATATGGCTTCCCTCTAGCAACTCTCCTCGAGAATGGTTGAGGCTTCTTCCCAAACCTTCTCGACGGCACTGCCTTCATCCTTCCTTTCTTCCTCGATCTATGGTTCTCACAGTCTCTTTTAATCTTCAAAGCGAGGTCTACCAATGGGGCATATGAATTTAGGTTGGCTAACATTACTCTACCCCTGATATCTGGCCACAGGCCCCTTTAAAATTTAGTTGCCTTTCGTGCCTCAGTGTTTATGATGTGGGGCACGGACCTAGAGAGTTATACAAACCTAATGGCGTACTGTTCCACAGTCAGGCCCCCCTTATTGGAGTTTGATAAATTCTACATCTTTCCTTTCCCTGACTGAATTGGGGAAGTGTTTGAATGTATTTTTCATCACCTTGGTCCCTGGTAGGAAGCAGGTCAATAAAGCTTACAAAACAGTGGAAAATTCTCGACAGTCTCAGAATGACCCCAGAATTGATCAAGATCGTCATTAGCACTTCAAAATACCATCTGCCAAGTTTCATCACGATTAAACATGTCCAAGGCAGTGACCACAATGAAACAGGTTCAGAAAATTGACCTCTAGCACCCTCAAACAGACCCTATAACTGGAGCTACATTTTTGGTGTCTCAAATTACTATGGGACCATTACCATTGGATCCAGCATGGTCGAAAACTCCAATGGGCCAAGTTTCGTCTTGATCAAACACTCCATAGCAAAGATATGAGTAAAATATTGAAACAGGAGAGGCTGCACACTATTCCTGTATGGCCTCACTGCACCAAAACACCATTAAAGGTGGTTGTTTCTATAGTCACAGGCAGTCATTTTTGGAACCCATAACTCACTCATTCCAAATCGGATCACTCCCAAATTTGGTGAGCATATTCGTCTCATGAAGACAAACAATTCGATATGTGGCACGCTCCGAGACGATATCCGAACAGGGAGAAAAGCTAGAGAGAAGTTGCTGATCCATGAAGAAATTGCAGAAAATTCAACAGCGACACTCCTCGCTTGATGAACCAAATCACAACGATCAAGCAACGAATCGACGCAAAACTAATTCCATTGTGTGCGTAAGGTTCAAGGCTATCAATGGACCGAACAACGTACATGATGGACGGTCAGATTTCATGCACGAAGCCGACGAAGTTACTGAAATTTCGGCCGTCGAATTCTAGATTTCGACCAAAATTAAAAGTTGCGAAATCTTCGTTCGGGCTCCAAATCAAGTTCTGATTGTTGCCATGCGATTGTGATAACATGCTTAGAGCACTACGACGAAGAAATCACATAAAAACATTAAGAAAAGATTGCATTATCGATCCGAAGTTTCTAAGATTCAAATAAATTTCAAGTCTCGTGATCATGGCTAGAAAACATGATTCATGACTCAAAGTTGGTATCAAAACAATCGACATGTCGAGCCCTATAAGAAAACAATAATCTTTTGATCAAATGGGCATCAGAACAACCTCGAGTAAAGCACGAAAGATTACTCAAGTTCTCGAGTAGCCACAACGACTGTTCTGAAATTCCACACATTGTTAGGCAGGGGCAAAACAATCTTTTTGCACCCATTTTAAAAAAAATAAATTCAATTAAATCTTAATTTTCAGCAGTTAGGTTTAATTTTGATCAATCCACCCATGTTTGGGCACAACTCTATATTAACAGGCACTGCCTTATTGTAAAAGGACAGGCACACAAACCCCCCTCCCCCACCCCACCTCTCAGTCATGAGTGAATTCTTTGAAGATTCAATAAAATTTTAATTCCTAACTTGAGCTTGTGAGTCTGTCTTGGAGAGAGAGAGAGAGGAAAGAGAAGAAAAGGGCTGGTACCCTTCGGGCTGATACTTTCTCTCTCCTCCCCTCTCTCTCTTTCTTTCTCTCTCTTTTCTCTCCCTGTCAACTGGTAACACCTAGAACCGATTGGCTTTCTCTCTTTGCTTTGGTCAACTGGTGAGACCTAACACTGAATGGCTTTCTCTCTCTTCTTTTATCAACTGGCGAGATCTAGCACCGGTTGGCTTTCTCTCTTCTTTTGTCAACTGACGAGATCTAATGCCGGTTGGCTTCTCTCTCTTTTTCTATCAACTGGATAGATCTAGCACCTGTTGGCTTTCTCTCTCTTCTGTCAACTAGCAAGACCTAGTGCCTGTTGGCTTTCTCTCTTTTTGCCTATCAATCGACAAGACCTAGCACTGATTGGTCTCCTCTCTCTTCTTCTACCAGTCGGTGAGACCTAACGCCGGTTGGTCTCCTCTCTCGTCGTCTATCAATTGGTGAGCCCTAGCGTCGGCTGTCTTTTCTCTCTCTACTAGTCGACGAGGCCTAGCGCTGGGTTGGTCTCCTCTCTCTTCTTCTATCAGTAGGTGAGGCCTAGCACCGGTTGTCTTTTCTCTCTCTACTATTCGATGAGGCCTAGCACCGAGTGGGTCTTCTCCCTCTTCTTCTATCAGTCGACAAGGCCTAGTGCCAATTGGTTTTCCCTCTCTTCTTCTATCAGTTGGCGAGACTAAGCCCTAGTTGGCTTCCTTCCTCTCTTCTCATTTGACACAGTCGGTGAAGCTTACCGTCGAATGGTTCCTCTCTCTCCTATCTCTTGAAACAGTTGGCGATGTCTAGTGCCAACTACATCTCATCTTCCTTCTTCTCTCTCCTTCCGTCTATCCCCTTCCTCTCTTTAACCATTCCTCTGTTGCTCTCTCGTTCGACCAAGAGGGATTGAGGTTAGCATCTCATGGCAATCTTGTCGTCTAGCCGTAATGTTGTCACGTCAGGTTCGCTTAGCTCGCTTTACTACCACGACAGACGGACCATTGTCCCTAGCTAGTCGATATCGGCAATAATGTCTAGTAGTGATCTCAGAGCCGGTCTCAGTTCCCGAGCCCGTTTCACCACCACGTCATGTCAATTATCCATCAGTCTAGTCACTGCCCTGATCTACTCGCTTGGACGAATTCTTCTCTCCCCTTGTCTTTCTTTCTTCTTCTTGAATGCGCATGCTTGTGTACACTCATCAGAGAGGAAAAGGGTGAGGTCTGACCAACCTGTCCCATAACCTTTGCCATATATGTGTGTGATTGCAGAAAGCATAAAATAATAAGAATACAAATCAAGGGAGGCGATTCCGAACTAGTTTCATTACTAGGGGGCTTTCTTCTTGATTTAAGAGGGCGCCCACGTGAGTCAGCCAGAGTAAGTCCCGAACCCTCCTTTTAAATTGTTCTCTCACCGGTTGGTAGCACCTGCCCCCGTTTTCGAACGAGGTTCTCGAGAGTGTGATCTCACGAACGTCCCGAGTCTTCCCCAAAACCCGAGACATGAGCCACCCGATCCCCCAGGGATCCGAAAGGCGAGATCGAGGCACCTACCCAGCTTGGCGACTCCACTGGGGACTTACTACCCCTTAGTCAAGTCGTTTGTGTTTGGCTAGTTTCTTCTTTATCTGCTTTCATCATCTTTTCACATTCACTTATGGCTGCTAGGTTCTATAACCCATTCATCCGGATCGAGGATTTTCTTATCCCCTTATTCGAGAGTGTCCCTAGGGAACAAGGTCCTTCGACTTCGTTCCTGACCATCCTCTTGAGCAAAGACCCTTTGTTTTGCTCCGAGGTATTAACGTTGAACGGTGTGAGGAGAGACTTGAAGGTCCCTCACTCCCCATCTCTTCACTCTGGTGACAATTCCACCAAGGCACCTTGCATGGGTGGCACTTATGTTACCCCACACAGCATGCACCCAACTACCGGCGAGTCACTTACAATTCATGTTTCTGAGGTACGCTGGAAGGCTGCCCAGTCCCTTTCTGTAAAAGGCAAGAGAGTTGCCATTGCTTATGTGGGTCTCCCCCCCACATTCCTACACCAGAGGTCTCTATCCCTAGAGGCTCAACACATAGAGGCGGAAACCCCACGGTCTCCACCCCTTACACACACCACAAGACTCGTGGGTCACCCACTCGAGTCACACTTTGGGGCAACCCTTCTGTTACCTCAAGTCCATGTCTTGGATCAAACCTTCCAAGGCCAGATCCTCCACACGTCACTCATGTGCATCTCACTACTCGAGGCAACACCATTATTGTGCCAACCCGAGTACACAGAAGACAACCTCCTAGTTCTCCTCCTATGCACACACACAAGCGCACCCTGTAAAGGGTAGGCCTGCACTTGTTCTCTTACAGATACCTATTCGTAGTTCTCAGCCTCTTAAGGCCAGCTCACCTGCACGAGCCTGGGTGGACCCCCAAGTCCCCTAAGATCCCTCTTCAAGGGGCTCACACATCGCCATCTCAGGCCTCCCCCCGTCCTCGACTCAGACCTCCTTATGAGTCAACCCTGCTCCCGCTCGCTCCTTCTTCATCGAGCAAGCACCTTCAGCCATGGTACTCGAAGGTTTTTCCCAAGAGTACCATCCTGAACCAGCCCCTACACTTTGGTCATGTCTCTGGAGGTCATAAGAGAGCTCGGGGCATGGACCTCATAGAAGATCGAGTCCTTAATCCTCCTCGACCCAAGATGACCCCAGTACTTGGCCCTCATCCTTAGCCACACCTGAGAGAGACATCACTCTCCTGTGCAAGAAGAGTTGACCAACCATGACATAGATCACATTTTTGGCAAGAGATCGATCAAAACCTCAAGGCTAAATGCGACAGAGGTCTGCAAATATTGACTAAGGAGGTGACCAAGGCAGTCAACATAGCCAATTTTGACGACCCTCTTCAGCTTAATCTCTTCTACCTCCTTCAGACCATGAAACCTGAAGAAGAACTCAATGAGCCCTATGTTGTGGTTACTGTTGAAAAAGAAGACTCGACCACTCAACGCCATGGTCCCAAGACCGTCGTTAACCGGCTCCCCAGCCACGGTCCCAAGACCGTCGAGAACCGGTTCAAATGCGATCTGTGTACAAAAGTCGAGTTCAGTCAGAGCATGATGACCCCTTATTG